AACAGAATCACACTGCATATTCATTGCAGACTAGACTTTCGTGTTGCGAGCGCTATTTCACACGACCACGTAGGCGTCCTTGCCTTCCCTTACTATTTGGTGAGGATGATATCTTCCAAAGAGCCCTTTCCTCCTGCTAGGATGCCGCCGGACCAGCAGATTGCCTGGATGAGGGTCACAGTGAACCTGATCATAGTACCCTGCCAAGTCGTGTCACCCAGAGGGTGTCACTATTACATGCCCCGAATTGAAGATCTGATGTGCAAACATCTCCGTGCAGTTCCTCACAGTCTTCCCCAAATCAACGCCCAGCACTGCCGCGTCCGTCACCTTCACCGCCTCGTCGATCCACTCCGCCACTATCACATCTTCGCTCGCCCAGAAAACCTCGGGTACATAAACAACCTCGCTCAGTTCGGAGTTCTCAAAGTCCGCCTTTGCTCGATCGGAGTTCGCAGCCTCGTTTCGAAGGTCCATCTCCTGTCGAAATTGGTCTCTCGTAAAATCGTAAGTCCACAACATGGGAATGTCGAAGGACTTCTCCAACGCCCACAGAATGATCCAATAGGCTCTGAGGTCCCAGGCCACCTGGAAAGTCACGCTAGGTTTACGGAGCTTCACAGCTACACTGGTATGAGGCGAAGCCTTGAGCCGTGCTTTATGAACCTGAGGCAACATGCACTCAAATTTCGCTCAACGATAGAGAAAATTTTTCACCAACTACCATACCATGCACAACTTGTTTTGATACCACTACTGATGATATTTTGACAGTCCCTGTATCACATGAAAATTGACGGCCACCACTATCGGGAGTATTCTGACAAAACTTGACGACCATTGTGCTCTGTCGAGTCAGGATGAGCACTGCTGAATTTCAAGTCGAGTGGTCAACTACCCAAACTCCTTGGCTGTATCGAAGCAATGGTACATTGTGTTATGAAGCATCATTTATCATACCAAAGCAACTACTGTGAAAGATGAGTACAGTCCCTATCCCAATTCATTCGGGTCCTATCCAAGTTGGTGGTCGATCCAGGCTATACTACACCATGAAGTGTTAGATAGATGGTATTAGAAAGTTCTAAAGGCGGTGGATGACCAGAGATGGTTCCTCACCTGAGCTATCGATGCACTGGCGACAGGCTCCAGTTCGAAGTCTCGGATAACATCATCAACTCCGGACTCATGTAGAAGGCGAAGTACCTCACCTACCAAAACTCTGAGTACCCACCAAATCAAAGAAGAGCACTACTCTGTTCCATTTCCAATGCTTTGTCGTGTAGTTCCTCGAAAGGTTTGTGCATCTCCCTGGGTAGGGCCACTTCCATTGAACAGAGGACCTGTCCTATCTTTACGTACCTGCATCATACGGAAGTTTACCACTCATATAGGACTTTGTATTTAATGAGGAGCTATAGCATGAACTTGCTGACTGAAAATAGAGATTTTGAAACCGCATTATTTCGAGTGAATCACATAATTAGGTTGATGAACTTTCAGAAGGGATTATACTCTCCTCCCGTTCATCAGTCTTACAGGCCTTCATTTCTCTTGCAAGTTGCCACGATCTCCTCTGCCACACGTCTGTGTACTTCAGACGCATTATCAGCATTCCAAACTCTCTTGTATTGCCACCATATGAATGCACCACACTCAGCAGCACGGAAGGCTGAAAGGCTCCACTCGAAAAAAGGGAAAGGCCCATGGACTTACTCCGTCGGCCCACGCAATAACAGTAGTTCTCATCGATGAAGTAGATGGCACCAGCACTAGCTGCTGCAGCTAAAGTAGCTTGTACGCCTCTTCCCATTGCTTACAAAAGCGTACGCGAAAGTCAAGTAGTAGCTCCGCTCCGCTAAAAATCGACGCATCTTTTGCAAATTTCATCACCACGTCGCGGCACCAACTTCTTGTCCCAGGTTACGGTATTCATCCTATGGCCTCTACAGGGAAGGAGAAAGCTCCTCCACTATTCGACGCTTCCCTTTTGGGCCTTGACGATGATATGACGGATGCCGGAGGGTCCAATACTCTGATAATAGAGTCTAATAAGTCCAGCAAAGGGAAGGTCAGTAAGGAAACAGCAGCTCCTAAAGAGAAGATGAGTAGTACAGGGGTGTTGGCAGTCTGGGGTGTGACACGTGTCCACATTTAATCGCTCTAAACTTGCCACCAGTACTCGACACTGTTATCCGTGAATTGAATCGGACTTTCATCGGGCACCGTTGCCATGTGGAGAGCTCCCATGAACAGAGGAATCTTCTCATACATCTGCGCTCCGGAGTGAGTACTGGAGTTGTGGTAATTGTATTCACGAGTAGCAGCAATGGCAGACGTACAGCAGGGATTTCGTATTACATGGAATGCTTTGTTCTACCTTCTATCTAGGTAAACGTAAACGGAAGAGACTCATGGAGCTACAAGAAAGGGCCGCACGAGAGGCCAAGAGGTACGTTCGCTAGTTGATACTGTGTCCTTTGTGACGAAGTCGTTAACGCAGGTTGGCAGTGCTGGATGAGCTGAAGTCCCATCAGTTGTCCAGTGCTGAGAAGGCCAAGATGCACGCAGTTGCAGACACTGGGGTTCGGCGGAAGCGTCGAGAGGAGAGTAATGTGGCGGGTGGCCCCTGGACGTATGAGTGTCAATGGTAGGCGTTGGCCTTGCAAAACTTGAGAAGAAAAAACAGAAGTTGGCGGAGTTAGCAGAGCTCAGTGATGGTGATGTGGAAGGCCCTCAGAGCTCTAAGGAAGTTCGAGGTGTTCCCAAGAAGGCTGTCACGATGAATGCGGAGAGAACGGCGGTACGTTACTCGGGGCGGGGCGTGGTCCGATTCTTTCGATGACCCCCGTGTGGGTTTCTCAACAATGCTGAGCTACCTGGACAGAGCGTGTTCAGTGAATTGCCATGAATTTTAATTGGAGTATGCTATACTCCAAATGTTATATTATTTCTGCTGAACAGGTGCCGGCAACGGGCAGGTTGAAGGCGGCTCTGGCTCCGGTCAAGTCTAAGAAGGCAGTAGGTCCAACCTTACAGAGGATACATGTATGAATATTACGGGTGGAAACGTCGAGTAGTGTTGCCAGGTTCATCGGTCGCTCGAAATCGAAAAGCAACGCGCTCATTTGCCTGCGGTACGTCTAATAGGCTTGTCACCATTGCTTTGATGGTAAATGCTATAGGTGATGATGGAGACGGAGATAGTCGACTGTGTGATGAACGCTGAGGAGGGCGTGAGTATAGTATGTGGTGACACGGGCTGCGGCAAAAGTGAGCGTGAAATGAAGTGATGGTCGTTGGAGAGTCCCCCCACAGGTACACAGGTCCCACAATTCATCTATGAAACTGGCGTGACGAAGCACTATGGTAAACTGATAGGGATGACTCAGCCGAGGAGGGTAGGAGTCTACTAGAGGGAGGGTAGGCGGGCGGGACAAGGTCCTTTAGGTGGCGGCGACTTCTGTTGCACGTCGAATTGCAGAGGAGCTGGGCCCAGATCAGGACGGGACTGTGGGGTAGGTCCTTCGAGGGACTTCAATCTGTATGGGCGCCTGTCGTAGGTATCAAGTTCGATATGATAAGTCAATGTCGCCTGACAAGATGCAGTTGAAGGTCATGACTGATGGAATCCTCATGCGGGAGGTAGTATTGGTGGAGCCAGGCGTGGAATCCGACGGCGCCCTATGGATGAAACTCTAGCTAAGACTTAGACTGATAATGTCTCAATACAATGACAATGAACATATCGTACGCTAGTACATAGCTACTTAATAGTAATAGTAGTTTACAGATCCTTGTGAATCTATTTTCAGCTCGACTTGCCACTGCGAAAGTGCTATGTTGGTGAACTTCTAGATACAGACAGATTTCCTCCTTACTAAGTACTGTGTGATCATTATCGATGAAGCTCATGAGAGGTCCATAAACTGCGATATCCTACTCGGAATGATCAGTCGAGCCATAAGTAAGTTCGCTGTACCAACTTCCTGTACAGCGACGGGTCGCTTGTTTACAGCTATGCGAGTTGAGAGGAATATGCCTCCACTGCGCTTGGTCATTATGAGTGCAACTTTGCGCCTCACTGACTTCACACAGAATGCTGAGCTGTTCCCGAAGCCGCCGCCAGTGGTAGGGTTAGAGGGTATCGATCCAGTGAGGTTGGATGCACTTGATGGTATGCAGGTCCAGATAGATGCGCGGACTCATCCGGTGACGGTCCACTTCGAGAGAAGGACGGAACAGGAATATGTGAAGGCAGCGATACGAAAAGTGCGATTGATTAACGCCAAGTTGCCTAGAGGATCGATATTGGTATGGAAAAATGCAGTGCCCGGGGATCGAACCTGCGTGGGTGTGCAGGTGTTCGTAACTGGCAAGTCCGAGATCTACGAGATGTGCGAGGCGTTGGGAGCCAAGCCTCGAAGGAAGAAGGAAGCACACAACCAGTACATTGACAGTGATCAGGAAGATGAGGATTCGGACGACGATGAGGAGGAAGCTCTTGTCACGGGTGAGCGTTGGTCCTGCCCATCACCATTCTATGGGGTTATCCCTCGAAATTGATGCCCTCATTGGCGAAGTTGATTTCCTTTATCATGAAGCTGTGGTTCTTATTCGCGGGATTTAAATCCTCATTGGAACCACATCAACCTCAAACTGGTTTCCTTATCATCAAAATGACACGTGGCGAATTCATGTCCATTTTCGTCCATATGAATTCCCCAACCTATAGTTGAATGTATAGTTGACTATTTTCTGTTGAGCGTGCGGAGACACAAGCTGGCCAGTGTGATGTGTTCAGAGTCCTCGTCAACTCCCGAGACCCCTGTAGAGAATGCACGTACCGAGGAGACTCTTGCGCCTGCAGCATTCAAGCTGTCGGAGTCTGAGCAAGTAGAACAGATCATACTGGAGAAAGGCAAGTTCGGTGTTGGAGGAAAATATACTCGCTTTCCTCAGTTGAGCTCAGAAGTTCTTCTCATTAGATGTGGAAATTTATACACAACTCAGAGTAGGCGTGTACAGAAAAAACCGAAAATTTCCCTGGAATTTTCATGTTGTTACGTTTTTATATTTTCCTACACTGGGAAAGCTAGGCTTAGGCTGTCAGTGTTTGTGAGAGTTTCGGTAGCTGTGGCTGTGGTTCCCGACCGCCGATCGCAACACTTCCTCGTGAGCTCAATACTAATGACATGGGAATAACGAAAAATTTTGAGACTTGACTTATAGGGACACGTGCTCCAGACACCTTGTGATCGATGACGAGACCTGGACATTCTACTACGATATCCTTCCGTTCAACGAGGTGTTGTAGGTTGTAAGAAGGCCTCCAGTGGTAGCGGCCACAAGGGCGGTTCGGCGGCCTTCACTGGTGCAGCATTCGGATCTGGTCGGCTGGTTCCGATACCACTCTATGCGCAAATGTCAACGACCAAACAAGCGGAAGCCTTTGTAGAACTGCCAGAGACTATCACATCGATGATCATCTGTGTCTCAGAGGACCCCGGCTGAGGACGAGCGTTTTGTCATCATAGCGACCAACGTGGCAGAGACCGCTCTCACTTTGCCGAATATCCGATACGTAGGGGCTTGGCAGGCTCATGCAAGGTAGTGCTTATCATAGGTCGTGGACACTGGACGGGAGAAGAAGCGAGTGTATCGTAACGATGGGGTGTCTGTGTTCAAGGTTGGTGGAAGGTCTCGGTACATGTGTGTCGAGGGAAGTCATCTTTAGGTGGGCTTCTGTGCCTCGAGTTCCGCAGATCAGCGCGCCGGTCGAGCAGGTCGTGTTGGCCCTGGTCACTGCTATAGACTGTATATCCTTCTGTTAGCGTCTACCTCCACTTGCATCGTCTTTAGGTACTCCGGAGCTGTTTATGGTGATACCATGCCGGACTTCCCCATACCAGAGATTGCTAGTGGTCAGCCTCTGGACGATACAGTGTTGATGATGGCCAAGATGGGTGGGTGTATTGACTCTCTGCAATGCTGTTCATCATTCTCGCCAGGCATACCTCGGTTCCGACATTTCCCGTGGCCAACGCCTCCGCCTGTGGCAGCGGTAGTGCACGCTGTTACAACTCTATCGGAGTTGGGTACAGTTCGGCGTATCGGTATTAGCAATGATGAGGTGACCATAACAAAAACAGGCGAAGCGATGTAGTGTCACTAACAGTGTGATTTTTCGAATCGTGTTTTTGTTCAGATCTAACTTTCCTGTGGCACCTCGCCATGGGTGTATGCTGGTCCATGCTGGTAGGCTCAGGGAGGCCAACAACACTGAGTGGAGGGACGTCCTTGTACGTGTATCGATGGTCTCAGCTTGACATGCCTAGTGACAGGTGATGGTAGTGTGTGTAGTAGCAGCCCTAACTGTGGGGGATTTGTTCATACCCCCGCCTCAAGAAAAGAAGGATGAAAAGGTAAGAATAGTAGCAACATAGTGCTGAGGTGACTCCTGTAGGCAAGCAAGTTACCTGGGTGGAGCAAGTGCAGTTCGGATATCGAGGCACTACTGTGGTCCGTGGGTGGCTTCATGTGGACTACGACGGCGGACCAAGACGTTTTCTGTAGGCTTGTATTAGTGCTCTTGCTCAAGGATTGTCTGCAGGCGCTCGCCATATGCTACGGTCGAAAGCGTTAAACGAGGCGGCTAGTTTGACTAGGCAGCTATTGTCCCAGATAGATCACTATTTGTAGCCCGCATCTGCGCACTATAAAGGATTCCTATTGTGGTTGTCGTCATCATTCAGGGACCTCAACGATGTGGAAAGGGTATCTTTGTGTCGTCCACGGCCACCTACTGCTAAGCAGTTGGCGCTAGTGCACGAATGCGTTACTCGAGGGCTCATAGATCATATAGCGTACGCTACTGTGTGCGGGGTCGGAGTAGTTCAGCTGGGTCCATGACAGGTGCAAATCGACTCTGGACACGCGGTCCTATCTCACTAGGAACCACATGGTTGTGTACATTCATCGTGAATCTCTTTACTACCGAAGACGACCGAGCGAGTTTGCTTATACTGAGATTGTTAAGGCCAGCGATTCTCGCGGAAAGAATGTGGCAAGAATTTGTAAGCTACCCATTGCTCCCCCTTATGCAGCGTATGGTCATTGTCGTAGGCGTGGCCGTCGATACTGATTTCCTGGCTAAACTCGATTGCCCGGAGCTCATCAGGCGTGGCCCACCGTTGAAGATGCCGGTACTGTGAAGACGAGATGAACCATGTTGTGTAGCGTTATATTTTAGCCGCCTTTCTATTCTGCAACCAAGGACCGAGTGACGGCTCACTTCACACCGACATACATTCCTCTGGACATGCCCCTGCCCACTGTCGGGATAGAGCTCTCGACTCGAGATCCTCTAGGCTTGAAGGTCTTTGCTTGCGCTATTCTTCAAGGTAAGGTTAGCTCGTTTGGTCACGACTTGACTGCAGAATTCAGGTAAAGTGTTTCCGAAGTTGCTGAAGTATCGCTCGTCACTAATTTCGGAGCCGACCTTGGAACACACTAGGTTGCTGCCGATGGTGGGCCTTGGGGAGTATTGACCTCACTCGCTGTACGGTATTGTATACAGTGTTTAAAATATGATTGCTTTCCACAAGTGAGATCAGAAATTTCCTCACATATATGAGAATCTATATGCCAATTCGGATGGGAATGTACAGGAACCAACGATAATCTGTGGAAATTCCCTCAAAATTTTTATATTGTCACCAACACATGTGGCCGACCCTGCACATATTTTCTAACAATGTTTGTATCTATGCAGGTTGAATCGTTGAGGAAATGTCGTTGCGGGTCTCGGCGCGAGCTGGAACAGCTGTGGCTCGACAGCCCAGATCTGCTGAGGGTGGAATGCGAGTCCTGGTATAAGAAGTCGACACACAAAGCGATTGAACGGATGTGGCCACCGGTTGAATGACCGCAACGTATGAAAAAAGTTACTGTTGTTGTTATGAACGTATACTGTTTGCTTATCCTGTTTCAACGGACTTTCAGCACGATGCTTTTTTTGAGTTCTCAATTTCAGCCTATCACTTGGGCTCTGCTATCCTGGTCCTGTCTTTTATTTGGGGACGGTGTGGTATGGTATGCTGGTCTCAAATCAGGACTGAGCAAAAGCAGCGTTTTAATGTGTTGTAGCTTAGTGCTGGAGATAAGAAACTTCAGTGCCTCCTGAAAGTAGCAATTACCAGTCTAGGGTAGAGTTCACCCCGCCACCACTCAGTACGCAGTGTTGGGTCTGTGCTCTTGGGTGCGTTCTCGAAAGGTTCAAGTGATCGACTACGCGTTGTGGCTAAGCCTTTGATTGGTGGGCTCCTAGCAGCAGGTTGTGGCAGTTGGATTGCGTGCTTTCCTTCAATGGGACTTTGGCAGCAATCGGTGGTGAAGTGCGCTGACAACTGCGGCATCTTCAAAGCTGTAATCATCGGAATGCCGAAGTGGCATCACTCACGTGGTCGAGTGGGCTACGCCTTCCGCATGGCTGTTCGAGACAAGGTCGGTCACTGTGGGAATATATGCTCGGTTTCCTCAACTGAGCTCGTGAGTTTGCTCATTACATCATGTATTTGGGGTAGAAATATGCGAAAACCAACGATATTTTTCCAAAATTTCCGCGAAATTTCCATATTTTTACCAACACATTTTGTTGACCGCATGCATGGTTGGTATGCGTTGTTTCAGAGTCGTGAGTATCGAGGAGAGAAGCTTCCTCGAGGAATCATAGTGAGGACAAAACAACCAATAAAACGCAAGGACGGATCCACCATCAAATTCGATGAGGTAAGTCTGTTGTTATTTCCTCCGCGGAAAGCACTGTTGATGTAGAACGCCTTTATAGCGATCAGTAACAACAAGCCTCTGGGCAACAAAGTGAAGGGCCCTGTAACGTACGAATGTGGCCATTCTGTGAGGTGACAACAGTTCCGGTTCTGGTCTATGTGCAACCCCTCTGTGTTTCCTCAGGAACATGGCGCGATGGATTTTCTAGAGTACGTTGTCATGTCAAAGCAGTTTCCGCGTAAAGGGCTTAGAGTTGCGTTGATGGCTTCTGCCTCTCAACCGACATATCCTGAAATCTCTTTGTCGGTTGTATTACTCGTTTGGTTTAGTTTTTTTCGACTCAAGATTTCTATGACGGTAGGAGGCCGCTCCTTTATCACAACCATCACTTGCTTCTTTAGTCCCAGGACAACGTTGTTCGCTTTGGTGGAGTCCCAGAGCATTTTAATGCCCCGTTCCAACGCTTACTGCAGCGCCAAGCTAAACTTGATTCATCTGCCTGTGCCCCTCAGGTGGGATCCGACTGACACTGTATGAGCCGTCTCGCTAGCTATGTTGCCTTAGTTGGCTTGGAGAACATATCCTGGTGGCAGCGGAGCGATGCTGAAGGCTGTAATCTCCAAGGAGGTGGATTGCGCATGCGTGCTCACTGAGTCAGCTGTTGCCCACATCATTAAGAACTCAGGCAAAGACGCCAGAGACCAGGTCAGGATTCTCGGTAAGATCAGAAGGTAGCGAGGTTAGTCCAGGCCGGTGATGGTGCTGGCCGCAGGTACATACGTTGCGTCTCCTCTGGTCTGGGGAGTTCATACGTCATCAAAACGTCCAACTGACTCCGAGGGCAATGTTTTTGGGATATCCCGTTTTGGCAGTGGCTCGCATATCATGGCAAAAGTCGACAAAGACAAAGTTGATGGAGACCTTGCCTTCAAGGTCCGAGCGAAGAAACATAGTTGGATGCAGGAATTAGTCCGAACTAGGTTGTGAACTCCCTCGATGGAGCTGTTGAGTCGATGGCCAAAGGGGATATCGATTACTTCATGTGGGAGGTCTTCACAACGAAGTAGAATCCATCCTGGTCTGATCTGTCCATGAATTCATCCACCAGGCACCTAGTCGACAAGGGTGAATGGAAGTTAGTGAGGAGAGTCCCAGCTCCTTGGCCTGCTTTCGTCTTCGTAGTAAGCACTTGTGAGCTGCTGCGTCGAATCAGAGCACGAGTTTTTCTTACTAGGTGAGCGAGGATATCTCGTCTGATCGTTTAGAGGCAGTCAAAACAGTCGTACATGCTGTTCATGAGGAAATCGAGCGGATGCTAGGAGATCGAGATGAAACGCGCGACTTCATCTCCGAATTGTATGTGCTGCCTCTTGCAGCTCTGGGGAAGTTCCAGCTAGATACAACATGTCATCGGATGACACTGCAAGCTGGATGAAAGACGTCAAATGGCAATGCAATACTGAAGTCGACAAATCTGTGAGCCGCTCTGCTGTCACTCTAGTTGTACTTTTCGATCGTTGCAGGCCCTATTATTGGCTCAAGATACCCTGTGTGACTGCGGTATTGTCGATGAACGGGCCAAGATTCAGCCAGACGATCTCATTGTTACGGGCTCTTGCGTACTCGCCGAGTCCTAGGTTTCATGTTTACCCCCGAGCGGTATCGATTAGGTATTGTTTCTTGAAAACTTCATTCTTGTTTCGCTATCATTAGTTGCGGACAAGTTTAGATCGACAGCACTGTATAACCCCGGGCCGTTCTGATCTGCGCTACCGTTGCGCCACAGGACCGAATTATGGAGTGTATATGGTTCCTACAGGAACTATGGAGATACATCCTCGTGTACTGCTGAAGACCCGCTAACCCATGATATGACCCCGGCCCGATTCGAACGGACAACCTTCTGATCTGGAGTCAGATGCGCTACCGTTGCGCCACAGGGCCGAATTATGGAGTGTATATGGTTCCTACAGGAACTATGGAGATACATCCTCGTGTACTGCTGAAGACCCGCTAACCCATGATATGACCCCGGCCCGATTCGAACGGACAACCTTCTGATCTGGAGTCAGATGCGCTACCGTTGCGCCACAGGGCCGAATTATGGAGTGTATATGGTTCCTACAGGAACTATGGAGATACATCCTCGTGTACTGCTGAAAACCCGCTAACCCATGATATGACCCCGGCCCGATTCGAACGGACAACCTTCTGATCTGGAGTCAGGTGCGCTACCGTTGCGCCACAGGGCCGAATTATGGAGTGTATATGGTTCCTACAGGAACTATGGAGATACATCCTCGTGTACTGCTGAAGACCCGCTAACCCATGATATGACCCTGGCCCGATTCGAACAGACAACCTTCTGATCTGGAGTCAGATGCGCTACCGTTGCGCCACAGGGCCGAACTACAAAATGTGTACACGAACTATCGAGATACATCTCTGTGTATTCCCGAAAGACCACAAATCCGTGATACGACTCCATTCCGATTCGAGCGGACAACCTTCTGATCTGGAATCCGGTGCGCTACTGTGGCGCATATGGGCTAAACTCCGAAACTGTGCTGCTCTAGGAGATATGAGGGTGCGGCATTGTTTTTCGGCAGATTTCTTGACTCGCTTTGGCTCCGATTTGTGAAGGACGGTTTGTAAAGCGATACGTCGTCAACAACAGAATAACATCATTTGAAGATTGACGTAGTCCCACTTACGAAGTCTCAATACAACCTTGGTTCAACATTCGAAACCGCACTATGCACTGCTAAACAAGTCCGCGGAAAACAATTCAAGTAAATGGAGCTCGTCATTTATGGACCTCACTGGGTCTACGCTGCGCAAGCTCAGTGTCGATATCCCTGAACTGGCGCGTCATCGGAGGATACAAGAACGGCCTCAGATCAAATCTATTATCATCCGGAGAGTATGCTTCGGCGTGATACGAGGGAGTCAATACAGTGCCTAAATCGCAACAGCACTGTGCATGCCTTACATATATTGGCACTTACACTTATGCCTATTCCTGCAGTAACAGTTGAAGAAGTGTTTCACCTTGTTTGCGACTTCATCTGCACTCTCATTACGGCTTTCACCCCACATAATCCGAAGTTTGTGGAACATTTGCACCGGACCGCAGCGCTCCATCTTCCGAAGCCGGCCGAACCAACCAAGCTCCTGAGCGATACATGATGCGCCGTCGGACCCCTCCAAAACTCACATTGTAGGTCATGCCCATATCGACTTCGTCGAGTTGTGCCGGTTCTCCCTCGACTGTTGGTCGCAGCTCTGCCGTTGGAGGTGCTTGGACCTTCAGTGAAGAGGATGAACGTCATCTTACGAGTCAACTTACGATCTCGGCGAGCGCTGGGTATCCCAAATTGGTTGATGCCCAGACCAGGAATGACTTGAGATCTCCCTTAGAAATGCTGCCTATGGGATTAATATCACCCGAGGAGCAGTCGTACTTCGTCAAATAACCACGAAGTGCCTCATCGACATTACCTGAAATAGGATGCAATGACCATTGCTGAGAGTATACCCTACCAGTCGAGAGGACGAGTAAATAGCCTCCTCGCCTCCTAGCATGAGGGAGTAGCTGCGCCAGCATGAACGACATCACCATCCGACTTCGAGCTTGGATGTTCTGCAGTGCCAGGTCCGTCGTACGAGTGCCTGATCGTCCTCATCGCTGCCTTCTCACAGGTCGACGTCAGTCCCCACCTCCCTGAGACAGATATCTCGGTTTCAGCTCCTCATCGACTTTTCCATCTTCATTAGTGATGACATAGTCCGTGAAGGCCTCCTCAACAGCATCGCAAATTTTGTCGATCATCACAAATTTGTGATAGCTTCCAACCTATAGACGATTGCGTGAATAACCTCCGCTACCAACAGTCGCTCTCTTCAGTACCTGCTGGGCGATCCTCTCGGCTAAGTTACGAGTAGCTTCCCCTGAGTTTTTCGATGCCAAATATGCGGTATGAATAATGCAGTTGGCGAGCTCTTGAGAGGTCTTGGGGAGAACCTGAAAATAGTGAATCAAGAGACGTTCATGACAAGCGTCTTGAGGGCAATACTCAGACCGGCTGATAGGTTGATACCTCAGATGCAGTAATTCGTTTCACGTCTGCTTCAACTTGCTGGTCCCCCTCGATGAGCCTATCCATGACCAGCTGGCACATAGAACCGCATATGGCCAGGACCTAGGAAACACCCTACTACACGAGAGAACACCACATAACCGCTTACACTAGCGCTGTCAGCTCCACCCGACAGAGGAATGAAGAACCCCGAAGCCCCACTACGACGTAGGTAATCCCAAAGCCAGCACGCGGGACCTAAATAGCCACGAAATAGCCCTCAAACCACAGCCTAGTGGACAATTGACCTCGAGCAATCTCTTCCATAGGATCACAGACGATCGGTTTCACAGGAAGATTCGCCGATATGAACCTACAACACAACGTCACACACAGTGAAACGATACCGTGCAGTACCTATTTGCCGGATCGCAAAGACGGAAGCCTCTACAGTCGACTCGAGGCACTCTTGAACCCGTCAACGCTGCTGCTTGAGTGCATCGTGACTTCTTGCTAGCACGATAAGAGCGAACCTGACAGCGGCATATGATGGACAGAGAGTGAAGTATGAATTATCACCTCATCAAGATCAACATTAGCAGTGATGACCTCAACCTCCTTGATGGCGAACTGAGACCCTTGCGCACGAACTTCGCCATTCACGGCGATCAATGACGAACCATCGAAATACCTATACGATAGACCCGGCATAGCGCCAATTCCCGCGGACGGACCTTGTGAGTCTTACAGTCGTCCACCATCACAGCCCATGGAGTTGGCATATAGATATACTCCGCCAGACTTGGACGTAGCACCTACATGGAAGAACATCACGTTCAAGCCGACAACAGCAGCCTCACCGGCGATCAACTTCAGACGCTTTTTAAGTTTCCTCAACTCGTGATGAGATCCACTACCATTGGCAATAATGTCCACGCCATCAAGCGCCATAACTGAGAGCAGCACGATGATTCCTCAAATGAACTCTATAGCGCTCGTTACTCGTATGAGGATTCTCAGGAGCCCATAGCTCCTCACAAGCCTCGCAACCCACAGCACAATCTGCTAGTTGTACAACTCCAAACCCGAAGGGGCATGTCTGCTGACGGACATCTAAGACACGAGTTCTCAGGTTGTCCGCAATGTACGACTTACCGGCCGGCTGGGCCTCTAGGACCACATCGGGGACGAGCATCTCCTCCAGACCGCGTTCCATGGGCCACGGCGCGAACCACCTAAGCCGATGAAAAGTGACCACCAATGACTATACTGTCCTCAGTACCTTGACTCACGGTAGTTGCCATCATCAGCTAGGAGCATCTTGGGCCGCACTAGTAGTATGCGTCCCCGATAGAGGAAGACTCTACAGTTGTAACCAGTCGACTTGAATCTAATGATGATGGTAAACGCTACCACACCTTCACTACATCTTGTATTACAGAGCCGGCATCCCTATGTCCATCAGCATGTCCAAATCAGAGGTGGCTGTCTAAGGCACACCAACCATAACACTACAAGGCAGATACCTCAGTCCTATTACTATGATGTGTGCAAGGGATTCCCAACAGTGCTGGAATGTGTCCGTCTCGAGGAAGTGATCCTCACATCCGTAACCGGAGAGCTCCAATTCCGGACCGGTACTGAAAATTGTGATTTCAAATGGACGATGCCGGTGGTCGAATCCGAGGAGATAATGGAGACCGTGTGAACGACGATTCGTAGAGTGGGAACTCACCGGAACTTTGCGTTTTTGTCGTGAGCAATACGAATGCTCTCGATGACTCTTTTCTCGTTGCCGTCGAAATCAAGGGCCCACTGGTCCAGGTTGCAGGTGGCAACCACTGCCATTGACTGACCCACCATGAGAAAACGGATACCTTACTACAAGTAAGCGGATTGTACAGAACTTATGAGCGAGAAGGCAATACTTATAGCAACACAACTTCAACAGCACTTCGATGAGCAAACACACTACAGCGGAGCTTATGAGGTTGATTAGGGACGAAACTCTCAATAAACCATAACACTACAAGTTGCATACAGAGTTGGGAAGCCCAATACACCCACTGGGGAATACGAAGCAGAACTAGCAGTTACTCTTGGGAAAAATAAGCTTCATAAAAACACGCACAGCGACCACGGGAGCCACGAACCCCATGCCAAGTAGCGACGCTAAAGCTTGGAGTTCCCTCTATTGAATGGAGGGAACCCCAAGCTTTAGCGTCTATTCTAGTCACTTTAGCGCCACTGAGAAGCCTAG